AGACCGGAATTCGCACCTGGAACTCCTAATTGCTATATCGAACTAGCAATGCAATGCATGGATTTCGATCCACATAATCGACCTACTGCTTCAACTATTACTGACAAACTTAATAAATGGTATGACTCCATCTGCGCTCCTTCTATTGTACAAAATATTGAGATTAGAACAATTAAAAATCAATTTATAGAAGCCGACGAGACAATCAAAGATTTACCGAATGTCAAACAAAAACATTCAGACAACATGTACACTTCAAGGTTTATAAGCATGCGTAAAATCACCGAAGGGCCCTCAAAATTGGTTTTTGGCAGTAAATCATTAGATTTTGTTATTTGATGCAGACCGCGAAATAATGTGATTTCGTAGACAAAATCGTGTTCTAAATGATAATAATTAATATTTTTTTAATGAAAGAATATCTTGCTATAATTGTAAAAATCAAAAATACAATCTTCTGTTTTATTTAAAGTAAAAATTTCAAATTTATTTTGGAATTTTTTCTTTATAGTAATTTTCTAAGAAAATTTTACTTATCAATTTGGCCGAAAAACAAAAAGCTAAAAAAAATATATATCGATAACAAAAAGGCGAAACAAAACAGCAATGAAAATGATATTGAAGATAAATGAAATGATATTATTTATATCTTATTTTATTCTTAATTAGCCTTTATTTATATTTGCGTTATTTCTAAATTTCATAAATCTTGTTAATTGTTAATTAACGCGTGCTATTTTTCTATCTATTTCTAAATTTCATCGATTGTTAATTAATTCATTATCTTACTAATCGAAATAGTTAATCCATACGCTTTAGATAATTACGTATTATGTATTACAGTGAAATCTGGTGGCGAGGTTCAGTGAAGGCCATTTTCATTTTATAAAAATCCAGTACAATGTTTAGATACTTTTCATTTTTTGACAAGGACGGATAACGGCAATATTCCTCTGAGAAAACGTTATTACACTGTTAAGAATTTAGCACGAATATCAAATCCTGAAAATTAAATTTTTTTATGGCTATAAGCAAAGACTATTTTATCTCGTATACTGTATACGAGATAAAACTTTGACCTCGGGAGATCAGAAAAACAAATAAAATATCAAAAATAATGATTAATCAGCGTGCTTACAACGTAAAATTTGAAACGTTAAGAAATTATAAAATTTAGAAGTTATTCGTATTTACAATTAAATCGTGAGAAAGTTAAGCTCATTAAAAACTAGTCTTTGTAACACTTTATGAATAACTTTTACAGCTCAACCAATGCAGTGTATGGTAAAAAGTTAAGTTAGATTCATTACTACAAAGATTTGAACTTTTTCTGGACAAGAAACAAGAAATTCATTCACCACATTCATTATTATTACTAAAATACTATGCGTTATGTTCAACATTGTTTATCTTTCTCTTTGGGGTATTACATTTTTACTCAACTTCTTATCCTGCGCTGATAATTGACAATCAAAAGAAGTGATGATAACTCGTTATTCATTTTGCTGAAAGCCCGTTGACATTACAATATCTTTAAGTAGATAAAGACCTAGATTCAACATTAATGTTTTTGTTAAATCATTATATATACCATTAAAAAAACTGTTATGTGATATGATCATCATGATTATAGTGTTAGACGAAACCTGGGGATTTCGCTCTGACAAAACGTGAAACCTAGTTTCGACTTTCATCAATTAAAATCTAAATGACAAATAACGAAACTGATGAAAGGTGGCGAAGCTGACGAAACTGCGAAGGGTGACAAGGTAAATAAAAAAAATGAAGAAATGGCATTAGTTAAGTAAATTAATAAAATCACTATAAATCTTAATGATCTTTATGCGAAGTTTTTCTCAGTAGGCATGATTAAAAGGGGGATCTCTAGTTAAAATGGTTAAAATGTGTAACACGTTTAAAAAAAAAAATGTTCGTTTTTTAAGCTTGTACTAACCTGTACAACTTTTTATTTTGTGTTATACTTGATCATGATCAAATTATTGGGTCCATTTTACTTTTTTAGGATCAAAAGAAGGCAACAAAATCGATAAATGATTATCGTTATTGTGAATTTATGCTATGTAGGTTGTAACATGTTATTTTATCATTATCGTGTATATAAGGTAGAATTAATAAGAAATATTTTTTCTGCGTAAATATTAAATTATTTTACAATTTATTTATGGTGAATTAGATCATTTACTGTACCAACTTTCATTAACATCATGGGCTGATCTATAACATCCAAGATACTATATACCGTAATATTAAATGCAATGATCTATTAAACATCATGCAAACTTCGTGTCATTCGATGAAAAGTGGTGTAAATTTAAATTATAAGCTACCGAACTTTATAAATGATTAAGTTGTTTATATCGAATCACATATAAAAGTAATTGAACTCGATATAAATGGCATGCTTTATTTGCTAAATATTTTTAAGATGCATTTTCTTGCAATATATTTAATCAAATTAATAAACTCTGTATGATTAATCAACATTTTATAGCCGAATTATAGTTGTTAAAATTTCTTAAACTTGTATATTAAAGAATATCAAAAAATCTTTTTAACATCAAGAATCTAAAATATTATCGAATACAAGGTTATTAAAATTATATACACATAATCATCTCCACATATAGCATCTAATGTAATTAGTTTGAAACACTGTTTTAGAAACATCTTACTTTATTAAATCATATGACATGTCCAAATACAAAGCACATTAATTATAAAACAATCATTTACATACAAATTAATAGAGAAGACAATCACGGATTTTTTTTCGACGAAAAAAAATGCAAAGTCTTAATACAGTAATAATTTATAGGTTTAAAAATTATCAACTTAGATTATACATTAAATCAGTGTTAAAAATATGTTTAGAGATTTATATTCTCATGATAACAAATTTATTTAAATTAATGTTCTCGGAAATTTATTTCACAAAAGTAAAAATTTGTTTATATCCCTATGCATTTAAAAATCTAATTTCGGACATTTATTCAAATTTTGTCCTAAACTTTCTTGTCTTTTATGTTCATTTTCTTTTCGGATAGTTTCGAATTTTGTTCGATTTCTAGTTATTAATTGCTTATATAGAGAACATATTTTCGATTATTACACGACCAGGGCGGTCATTGATTTTACGGGTAATGTGGGTGGCGCTACTAAAGTTCAATATAAACAATATGAAATGCAAGGCCAAAATTTTCATAGCAATAGCACTATAGATCTAATACTGATTCGTTTGCAAAAATTGCTGCAGGTGGTGCTACCTACATGACCCGTTAAATCTGGTATCTAGTCGTGTCTTTTGGATAACATATTTTTATGTTCTCACGAGAACATAAGGTTTTTAACACTAGGGGGTTCAGACTTAAGGTTCAGGTTTCTGATTTCGAATTAAATTAGTGACGTATTTATTTTGAAATCAGAGATTTATAAATCCTATTTATTTTTATTTGCAAGCCTATTTATATAATAGATATAATATACATCATTAAAAAAAGTTTGTTTATTTTATCTTCGGACAATTCCTTTTTCATTTTCTGATTTCGAAATTTCAAACCAAAAATAGGACTTTTCAAACTCCCATTTATTTTCAAAATAAGTTAACTCTGAAACCCCCCTACTGCTTTAAATTAATTCAAAATTCAATATCTAAACCGATTAAAATTTCAATTTAAGTATATTTAAATATTATTTCAATTTAATGGGGCTCTATTTCGATGCATGATATGGCATAAATGCAAATTTTATGTGACGAATACATATTACTAAGAAAACCGCCTTCACTATTGCTATATAGAGTACTGTATAGTATCATAATCAATTTCAACCAGATATTGATGTAAAAATTTTGAATTCTTATAATAAAAATATTAGAATCTTTAATAAATATATATACAGTAAAATCTCGCAATAGTCACACTTGAATTAGTCACAATATCGCTATAATCACCTTAATTTTTTGTTATAATATATTTATTAAATATTTACCCGTATTAGTCACAATCTCACAATTAGCACATAAATCATCTTATATTAGCATGCGATTATTGCGAGATTTTATTTACATATGTGAATTATGCTTAAAGATTAATTTTATTTAATAATTTTTTTTTAAATAATAAATTTATAAAAGTTTCTATTATAATCTGTCGTTGCATGATATCATAATAATATCTAAAATTATAAAATTAATTCCTAATTGATTCTATGAAAATATTTTCTATCAATATTTCCATCCTAAATTCAAAATTAATTCTTCGATCTGTCGGATTTTAATTTTTAGCTTGACAATTAATTTTTAAATTTTCTTTAATAACTAATATGACTTCTTCTAACAGAACTTCTTCCTTCTGTTCAAAGATCTTATGCTAAAGCATTCGCTAAATTTTATTTTCCAGTACCAACAATACTAGTTAAATAATTATTTATGATTAGGAGTAACAGTAATAGGGATGGCAAATGTTTTAAAACACGATATGATTGTTTGATTTAAAACAGTTTTTAAATATGCTTTAAACCAGTTTTTAAATATGCTTTAAAACAGTTTTTAAATATGCTTTAAAACATTATAAATTATGATGCAACTATAATTTATTGTAAAATTATGACGCAATTTTTTTCGTATGAAAATTTTTTCGAAGCGAATATTGTATCGTGGAACTTGGTCGGCGCAGAAATTAAACAATTAGGCTCCGCTGTTTATGTTTTAAAACATTATATGTTTTAATTAAACAAACATAAAAAACAGTTTTAAACTGTTTTTTTACCATTCCTAAACAGTAATAAATTTATTAATAAAATCTTAAATTAGCCAAATGCAGTGAACTCTTGTTATAGCGAAGATCGATATAATGAAAATTTTGAATTCCGGAATTATTAAATTCCAACTCAATATAGTGAAGTATATATTGTATTCTCACGATATAAGCTATAATGAAGATTTTTCTCAGCCCGAGATTAACTATAACGAGAGTAAGTTATATTTATGTTCACAAATTATCAGAGATAATGAGTTTGGATAGTCCATCAGTAATTTCTAACGTGTTTATTAATTTGCTGGTGTAGATTCGTTAGAATTCTTTGATTCCGTCATCTTCGGCTTGCTCCTATCAGCTTCCAAAAATTGATTATTTATCTCCTTATTATCATTATTACTCATACCATCTAACCAGTAGCCGATGTATTAATTGATAGTGGTTGCAGTGGGACGTTTGTCGGGACTTTTGTCCATGCATCTCTTTGCCAATTTAACATAACAATCTGGTGTTTCAATATCGAATTCTGGCCTTTCTCCTTGGCATATTCTTATTGCAAGATCT